TAATCGCGGCTTCATTTCCCTCTGCCGATCTGGCTAATCTACATGCCTCCATCGACGGAGGCATGTAGTTTAGACACACCCTCAGTCTTCTTGTTTCCAAATGAAACAAGCCCAATTCTTTCAGTCTGCTTTCATAGCTCATGTTCTCTAGACCTTTCATCATTCTTGTTGCTCTTCTTTGGTCCAGTGGGCTTAAACTGTAATCGCGGCTTCATTTCCCTCTGCCGATCTGGCTAATCTACATGCCTCCATCGACGGAGGCATGTAGTTTAGACACACCCTCAGTCTTCTTGTTTCCAAATGAAACAAGCCCAATTCTTTCAGTCTGCTTTCATAGCTCATGTTCTCTAGACCTTTCATCATTCTTGTTGCTCTTCTTTGGTCCAGTGGGCTTAAACTGCTGCAAAGGAGGTTTGGGTGGGACATTAGGAAAAACTTCCTAACTGCCAGGGTGGTCAAACACTGGAATAAATTGCCTAGGGAGGTTGTGGAATCTCCATCTCTGGAGATATTTAAGAGCAAGCTAATCAGATATCTATCAGGGGGTACGTCTAAACGACATGCCTCCGTCGACGGAGGCATGTAGATTAGCCAGATCGGCAGAGGGAAATGAAGCCGCGATTAAAATAATCGCGGCTTCATTTAAATTTAAATGGCTGCCCCGCTCTGCTGATCAGCTGTTTGTCGGCAGATCGGGGCAGTCTGGACGTGACGCGCCGACAAAGAAGCCTTTCTTGATCGGCACAGGTAAACCTGGTTTCATGAGGCATACCTGTGCCCTTTCTTGATCGGCACAGGTATGCCTCGTGAAACCAGGTTTACCTGTGCCGATCAAGAAAGGCTTCTTTGTCGGCGCGGCGCGTCCAGACTTCCCTTCCGATCTGGCTAATCTACATGCCTCCGTCGACGCAGGCATGTAGTCTAGACACACCCAGGGATGTAGACAGTACTGAATTCTGCCATGAGGGCAGGGGGCTGGACTTGATAATCTCTCAAGGTCCCTTCCAGTTCTAGTGTTCAATGATTCTAAGTTCTAGGGTGTTCTTTGGGCCGATGGCTTTTACCGCAGGCTAAATTCATGCTCCTGCCTTTCTCCCCAGGAGTTCATACAGAAGGTCACACAAGGGAAATACCCTGTTTGGATTGGCCTTACCGTTACCTCCCCAGAGGGGAGATGGACCTGGGTGGATGGCTCCAGCTTAAACCCAAATCTGTAAGTGTTTCTTCCTGTTAAATATTTCATATGCGTCTTATGGAAAGCGTTTAACTAAGTAACTTGGGACATTTGTGGAGTTACTGGGGCTCAGACAATCTGGATTTACGAGCAGATGCCATTCATGACCTCGGCCAAGTCTTTTAAACTCTTTGGGCTTCCACGCCCCATCTGTAATAAGGACTAATCGTCCTTTGGTTGTTTTGTGTATTTAGACTACATGCCTCTACAGGAAAGAGCTGCCTCTTATTAAGTGTATAGCCAAAACACCCCGCACAATGAAATTCTGATCTGGGTTGAGGCCTCTAAGCATTACTAGAACACACATAATACAGAAAACCAGGGGGGAAAATCCCATAACTCTCTAGGAATGGCTAACTACAGCCGCTATAGTGTAGTGGTTATGATGGTGCGGTTCCAAATTGTAGGCACTTAATACACTGATGGAAGGGGGTTTCCCATCACTTTAGAGGGTCCGCTTCTCTGAAGAGTGAGTAGCTGGGTCTATGGAGGTCTATGGAGGTTTTATTTTATCAACCTAGATTGACTTAATGATGTTGCACTGGACGTGACATTTTTCACAGCCATGAGATGCATGGGTGAGTCAACCAACTTTTTTAAATGAAGAGCAGGCCTCCTGAAACACAAATGCCATGAAACTGACATGTGGCATGTGAATGAAAAGTGGGGGGTTTTCCTCAGTTTTTTGATGGAAAATTATCACAACATTTCATCTGAACGTCATTTTGATTTATATGATATATTGCGTTACAATATAACTGTCAAAAGATTTTGAAACATTTCAATAAGGGCTCTTTTAGATGGTTCCAAAAGGTGATTTTTGGAAACCTCATTTCGCAGTAAATTTCAGTGTTTCGTTCTGACTTAGAACAGTAACGAAAAACCCAACAACAAATTTATTGTGTGAATATCCCAAAATTCAGTTTTCTAGCCTCTTCTAGTAATGAAGCTGGATCTACACTATGACGGGAGACTGATATAAATTATGTAACTTCTGTTGTGTGAATAACTTAGCTGAAATTGACGTATTTAGATTTACTTACTGTGGTGTCTCTGCTACGGTGTGTCAACAGGAGACCTCCTGTTTATTCCTCTTGTGTTTCTTGGCCCAGGGAAGAATCGGTGTTGATATGAGAGTGATCAGCACTCAATTGATCAAGTCTATACTAGCCTCAATAAATCAACCACCACTGGATTGATCGCTGTCCTGTCAATCTGGTTGTTAGTGAAGACAAGCCCTAAGTAAAGTCCATTATCAGGAATTAAAGGTGATTTTGAATGTTAGGCAGGCAACTTCCTCTTGAGTCTCAGCTATTCCTGAGTCTTCTAGGTCTGAAAACAGGCACACAACTGAATGAACGAAAGGTCTGCATTTTACGCATTTTTCTGGTCCAGCCACTAGGAGGAGACAAAGAGCCACAATCGGCAGAAATCGTATAGTAAGCTATCTTCTGACACGTGCTTTCCCACCGCCACCTCTAGGGGACAGCCATGAATTCAGTCCCCAATTGCTCTCTTGGGAACCAGACATGATGGGAGATTTGGGACATTTGTAATCTTTTAGGGGAAATTGCAGAGATAATGGAAAACTGTACAGTGAGCTGTTCCTTAGATTTACAATCAAGAGAAGCTCCTTTGGGCCTTTGCTTGAGAAGTCTAAATTTCTAACAGGATTTTCCCGTCCTTTGTCCCGCAGGTTTCCGGTATCTGGCCTGGCTGTGAGGAACAGCTGCGGGGTGATCAAGGGGAACGAGATTCGTTCTGAGATGTGCAGTGCTGAATTTAAATGGATTTGTCAGAAGAAGGCTGTCCTGATCTAAGCAGCGACAGCAGGGAGCCAGTAGCCTTAAAAATAATAGATCCCTAGAGATAAAGGCCATTCTGTCTGCTCTGATCTCCTGCATAACAAAGGCCAGAGGATGTCACTCAGTAAAAAGCGGCTAAGGAGAAAGCCACATGCTCCTCCAAGTCCTCTGAAAGGTCCAGCTCCCCCCTGTGATCCAGGGAGAATTTTCTGTATTATTTGTATATTGTGTCTTTGTGTGCCTCAGTTTCCCCCTGTATGCTGCAGCGCCACCTAGGTGGTAGAAAAGGGCTAGCTACTCTGCAGGGCTGGCTGATCCCTGTCTCCAAAATGGGGGCCCATGTCATTGGAAAGCCCACAAAGACAACAGCAAAGCCAACCTTCAAGAGATTTGCTACCAAGCAACGTACGACCACGGACGGCCCATTCCACCCCAGGAAGCCAGCTATGGTTGACCAGCTGCACAACAAAAGACTGAGCTGGGGCCAGAGGGGACTGGCCTGAGAAACTGAATGAAGAGGGTGTGGTGGGGTCAATCCCACTGCTGACATCACGTGTGGCAGGGTCAATCCCACTCCTGACACCACGTGTGGGAGGGTCAATCCCACTGCTGACACCACGTGTGGCGGGGTCAATCCCACTGCTGACACCACGTGTGGCAGGATCAATCCCACTGCTAACACCACATGTGGTAGGGTCAATTCCACTTCTGACACCACGTGTGGTGGGGTCAATTCCACTGCTAACACCACGTGTGGCAGGGTTAATCCCACTGCTGACACCATGTGTGGCAGGGTCAATTCCACTGCTAACACCACATGTGGTGGGGTCAATCCCACTTTTGACACCACGTGTGGCAGGGTCAATCCCATTCCTGACACCACGTGTGGCGGGGTCAATCCCACTGCTGACACCACATGTGGGAGGGTCAATCCCACTGCTGGACTCCAGATCCCCGCTCAGTGCACAGTCTGGCAGCCTTGGTACTGTGGCACTTCTCCTGCTTGCTCTTGCCGAGGTTTGAGCTTTTGTCCTTCGGCTACAAAGGGTTTGGGGGGCAGGCGCCCCCTGGTCAGCTTGGGCTGGGTAACCAGTTCTTTCCAGCTATCAGCTGGATTCTCAGGTTGCTGCGGGGGGCGGGGGGAGAAGTGGGGGAGGAAGGGAGCCCCAAAATCCCTCACTGGAGCTCCTCACCCCCCTCGCTGTCTCTGGCAATGCTGGTTTTCTTTTTTCTTTTTCAGTTTTTCTGGTTCTTCCCTTATCTGTTGTGGTCTCCTCTCCCTCCAACTCCCCCCCACCCCTCCCAGCAGGGAGCGCTTCTTTTTAAAAGGCTCCATGTCAGCCTGGAGTGAGATCAGTTCCTGATAAGCCAGGTGCTTGCTGCCTTTCTCTCTCTCTAACCTAGCCCTCTCTGGCCTGACCCTGTCACGAGGGACAGAGCCGGAGCCAGTGGCTGGGGGTCCTAGCCAATCAGAGCATGGACCATGCTGGAACTTTCTTTTCTCTAGGTTGACCATTGACTCAACACGGTGTCCCAGGCATCTAATAAACCCTCCAGCTCTTGCCACACTGGCTGAGTCACGGCAGGGGGCCCCTCAAGTCATATGAACATAAGAACGGCCGTACTGGGTCAGACCAAAGGCCCATCTAGCCCCGTATCCTGTCTGCCGACAGTGGCCAGCACCAGATGCCCCAGAGGGGGTGGACTGAAGACAATGAGTCTTCCTCGGGTGCCCGTCTTGGGTGATTGTGGGGGAGGAAGCTCCCAGCACGAACTGGGGGTGACTTCAAGGTTCAATCCTAGGTGAACATAAGAACGGCCGTACTGGGTCAGACCAAAGGCCCATCTAGCCCCGTATCCTGTCTGCCGACAGTGGCCAGCACCAGATGCCCCAGAGGGGGTGGACTGAAGACAATGAGTCTTCCTCGGGTGCCCGTCTTGGGTGATTGTGGGGGAGGAAGCTCCCAGCACGAACTGGGGGTGACTTCAAGGTTCAATCCTAGGAAGTGGAGAAGGCAAAGAGCTTACCTTGGGACGGAGTGAGACCCTCTGGGACTCTGGCAGGCTGAAGGGGTCCTCCCTGCACTATTCCAAAAATACTGAATGGAGAATTGTCTTTGGAGGGCTGTGGGACCCCGAACAACCCTCCACTCCCTGACCCTGCTCTGCCCTTTCCCCGATCACCCATCTCCTTTCCTCATGAATAACACTGGGAGTCGGCGAGGCAGGGCAGAGTGGGACTGGTGGTCTGGCTAGCAGCTCCCTGCACTGCCCAGACCCCACATCCCCAGAAGTGTGGGGCCTCCGAAAACCCAGAACAACCATCCTGAACTGTCCAATGGATGGGAGGGGTCTGACTGCATGTGTGGATCCATGACAGCCCTCCATAACCACCATCCAGCACACAGTCAACCTGTGGAACTCCTTGCCAGAGGATGTGGTGAAGGCCAGGACTTTAACAGGCTTCAAAAAAGATCTAGTAGATTCATGGAGGTTAGGTCCATCAATGGCTATTAGCCAGGATGGGTAGTAATGGTGTCTCTAGCCTCTGTTTCTCTGGAAATGGATGACAGCGGAGGGATCACATGAGGATTCCCTGTTGTGTTCCCTCCCTCTGGGGCACCTGACACTGGCCACTGTGGGCAGACAGGTCTAAGCTAAATCCGCCTATTTTGTTTTCAGTCAATAGCACATAATACGGAGTCCTCTTTGCCTCGGTTGCTAGCTTTAACGTATTTCTCCTCCTACCTCTGCCCGGCCTGTCATCTAAGGCAGCTGCCTCCACTCAAACGTTGAGCTGGCTCATTGCCCATTGCTAAGGTCCAGGGGTGAGTGTTGAACGGAAACACGGGACTCCCCCAGAGCGGGGAAGGGCGGGGGCAACCTCCCTTTGCGCCCTGCTCTGCCCCCCGCTCTCCCGAGCAATGCATCCTGGGGGGATTAGGGGGGGGGGGGGAGGCAGAGCAGAGCAATCCCCCCCCAGTTTGGTCTGCTCCCCCCGAGCAATGCATCCTGGGGGGATTAGGGGGGGGGGGGGAGGCAGAGCAGAGCAATCCCCCCCCAGTTTGGTCTGCTCCCCCCGAGCAATGCATCCTGGGGGGATTAGGGGGGGGGGGGGAGGCAGAGCAGAGCAATCCCCCCCCAGTTTGGTCTGCTCCCCCCGAGCAATGCATCCTGGGGGGATTAGGGGGGGGGGGGGAGGCAGAGCAGAGCAATCCCCCCCCAGTTTGGTCTGCTCCCCCCGAGCAATGCATCCTGGGGGGATTAGGGGGGGGGGGGGAGGCAGAGCAGAGCAATCCCCCCCCAGTTTGGTCTGCTCCCCCCGAGCAATGCATCCTGGGGGGATTAGGGGGGGGGGGGGAGGCAGAGCAGAGCAATCCCCCCCCAGTTTGGTCTGCTCCCCCCGAGCAATGCATCCTGGGGGGATTAGGGGGGGGGGGGGAGGCAGAGCAGAGCAATCCCCCCCCAGTTTGGTCTGCTCCCCCCGAGCAATGCATCCTGGGGGGATTAGGGGGGGGGGGGGAGGCAGAGCAGAGCAATCCCCCCCCAGTTTGGTCTGCTCCCCCCGAGCAATGCATCCTGGGGGGATTAGGGGGGGGGGGGGAGGCAGAGCAGAGCAATCCCCCCCCAGTTTGGTCTGCTCCCCCCGAGCAATGCATCCTGGGGGGATTAGGGGGGGGGGGGGAGGCAGAGCAGAGCAATCCCCCCCCAGTTTGGTCTGCTCCCCCCGAGCAATGCATCCTGGGGGGATTAGGGGGGGGGGGGGAGGCAGAGCAGAGCAATCCCCCCCCAGTTTGGTCTGCTCCCCCCGAGCAATGCATCCTGGGGGGATTAGGGGGGGGGGGGGAGGCAGAGCAGAGCAATCCCCCCCCAGTTTGGTCTGCTCCCCCCGAGCAATGCATCCTGGGGGGATTAGGGGGGGGGGGGGAGGCAGAGCAGAGCAATCCCCCCCCAGTTTGGTCTGCTCCCCCCGAGCAATGCATCCTGGGGGGATTAGGGGGGGGGGGGGAGGCAGAGCAGAGCAATGCACCCCCAGTTTGGTCTGCTCCAGCCTCCATCGCTCTGTTCCCTGCCAGTGAGTGCAGGCACCCGGCTGAGAGAGCAGAGATGTTGCTTCCCTTCCTACGCTGCTACCGGTGAGTACAGGGGGGCCGTGGTCCCCAGCTCCTCCACCCTGGTTAGTTTCCAGCCCTTTACCCCCTCACCCATCGCAGTTGGGGGCACGCCCCCTGCCTCCCACACTCCAGGGGAGGAGGCAAAGGCTGCATGGGGCTAGCTCCTTTGGGCAACTTAAATTCCCCCAAACCTGCCCACACCAATGATTTGGCCAGCTGCTAGGAAAATCCCCCTCTTCCTTCCAGCGGGACACAGCCCTGCACAACGGGACGAGGCAAGGAAGCGGACGCCGGGCAGGAAAAGAAACCAAAGCCAAGAACCAACATAAAGATTATTTATCTACATAAAGTGCTGGGGGAGGGGGGTAACAAAAACCACTGAAGGGTTCAGGAGCCGCTATGGTTTGTCACAAGTCCACGAGTGAATTCACTGAGCCAGGGCGAAATAGGGAAAAGTCTCCCCAAGTCCCTCTCAAGATAGCAGCTTGCGGGTGGCTGGCTGGGACAAGAGGGTGCAATTAAGCCGGGCCTGTTGCCTGTTCACAGTTTGGTCTGGGTGCCATCGCAAACACAGGGCCTGAGTCGCCGTTTCCTGAAACAGCTAGTTGACAGCACTGCAGATGGGATGTAAGATTTGGTTTGTACCTAAAAATCAGACCGACCTAGCTGCACCTCTTCGGGCTCGGAAAAATGCTACACCCCATGCAGTAAGGCACCATCGATGATAGATGTAGATCGAGAGAAGAATTCTCTGAGGGTACATCTAGACTGTGTTGCTTTTTTGGGATACCGAAAGCAGGGCTTTTTTTATGATGGTACTGCCCAGTACACAGTACCGGCACCTCCAGACAGAACTCAACAACTTTTCCCCTGGGCTGTGTCTAGACTGGCAAGTTTTTCCGCAAAATCATCCGCTTTTGCGGAAAAACTTGCCAGCTGTCTACACTGGCCGCTTGAATTTCCGGAAAAGCACTGACGATCTCATGTAAAATCATCAGCGCTTTTCCAGAAATACTATGCTGCTCCCGTTCGGGCAAAAGTCTTTTCCGAAAGACTTTTGCGCAAAAGGGCCAGTGTAGACAGCACAGGACTGTTTTCCGCAAAAAAGCCCCGATCGCGAAAATGGCGATCGGGGCTTTTTTGCAGAAAACTGCGTCTAGATTGGCCACGGACGCTTTTCCACAAAAAATGCTTTTGCGGAAAAGCATCCTGCCAATCTAGACGCGATTTTTCCGAAAATGCTTTTAATGGAAAACTTTTCCGTTAAAAGCATTTTCGGAAAATCATGACAGTGTAGACGTAGCCCTGGAGTACCAGCACCTTTTTTCTTTTTCTTTTTTTTACAAAAAAAGCACTGACTCGAAGTATCCCGAAATAGCAATGTAGCATCTTTAAAAGCACCCGCTATTTCCCGAAATAGCAGGCACGCTATTCCAGCATTCCTGTCACCCTCGGGGTTACGGGATTTGTCAGACTAGTGCCTTATTTTGAAGTGTGGCCCTGTGGAGACAGAGCCAAATTTCAAAATAAGCTCTTTCGGTTTAGACTCGGAATAAGTTGCGCAATTTGCGGAGCGTGAATTGCGTAGCTTCTTCCGACAGAAGGGTGCTGTCTAGACGCACCCTCAGAGAGGTGGATTAAATACACGACAGTGGTCCCTGAAAGCTGAGCGCTTGGGCGGCCTCTCAGGAGAGATTCCAGTACCACCCAGTTGATTAGTTTAGCGCTCACAGTGAGCTGCCTGTGTTTCTACTGGTGGTGCACATCTGCACATGCCTCTGTGCAAAGAACAAAATTTATTCCCCACGAGTCTGGAAAAAAAATGTAGAGGGCACATTGGTACACGGACGGCAAAATCTGAAGGAGGTGTCTATGCTGCAGTGCTGTATCTGAGTCACGTAATGTAGCCATACGTGGAGTTCTGCTGAAAGTCCAAGAGACTCAAGCCAGCGGAATGGGGCCTATGACTGTAGCCAGACAGGAATCCCCTTGTAACATCCATTTTTGCTTGCCTGGAGCATACAGGGCACACAGAGCAGAAGGCCCAGGCTGTGTGACCGTGAATGGCTATAAACAGAGATATGCCAATTGCTGACCAAGAGGCTGCCAAGGCGTGCCCTTGACTTAACCCATATTGATACGAACACACATCCATCCGCGGGGGGAGGAATCTCTCGCCCAGTAAAAAAATGTCTAGTGCTCACAATTTAGTTCTCTCTCTTGCAAGTGTAAATTAACTTGAAACTTGCTTGTAAGAACTGGCGCCACAAAACGGACCAGTACAATTCGGCATCTTAGATAAGAAAGAGAATACGGGCCCCCAGGGGTATAAAGATAGGTCCAGCAGCGCATTCTCTTTGCGTGTCAATCTACCATCTATCTGCTGGTCGGGTTAGGGGTTTGATCTCCCGAGGCTCCAAGGGGACGCCCACCTCGCATTCGTCTTTCCTAGGAATTGAGAGACCGGCCCTGGCCTGACACGCTGGAGTCGAGAGGCACAGAAAGGGGTAAAAATTGTACCTGGATGTGGTCCTTTGTTTAAGTATATATATACATAGACTTAGAGCTCTTTAAAGATTAAGCTGTCACTTGGTACCATTATTTCTATTTTCTATCTTTATTTTCTTTGTAACCATTTTTAAAATCTGTATTTGTTAGCATTTAAGAAATAGAGCAATAGCCATTGTAACCATATGCTTTTATAAGTCTTTTAATAAACCTGTAACTGTTTAAGCTTTAACCTGACTCCTTCAGTTGCTGTAACAGAACCAAGCACAATTTAAAAGAACTTCAGCCGGTCATAAAGGGACAGACATAGGGAGAGCTTGGGCGTTTGGATCTGTGTCACTCCCAGGTGACAAGATCCGTTGGGGCACCTTTCCAGCCTTTCCCAGGCTGCCCGCTGCGAAGGAACCCCTGTGTTCTAGCAGTTAAAATCTAAGGTGTAATAAGCTCTTTCTATATAACGGGGCGTCTGTTGGCCTGCTGGCCACCCTCTGCGACGGGACCCCGGTCCTAGCAGTAAAGACACGGACGTTAAACCTTTTCTCGGAAGCATACACACACACACTGCCCTGACCGTCGGCTGACAATGACCTTGATTGGCGCCTCCCTGTGACTGCTGTAAATATCCTCATAGGAGGGAACAAGTCCATGTGACTCGGCAGTCCCGTTTGCACCCTCTTCCGAAATAAGCTAAAACGGCCAGCCAGCCATCACCGCCCAACATAGCACCAGAGAGTCGCCTCGGTATTGCTCTTCTCAGAGATAGTCTTTGTTTACACAGCAGCCCGGAGTCTGGACAGCTACAATGATGTTATCAGTGTCCTGCAGGGGGCGCTGTAACATTACAATAGTGCAAATTATTGTACTCGTGACTGGCCTGCTCTTGCATATGCAGCTAGCACCACTGCAAAAGCAGATACCAATTTAACCATAGCCTGACCTTGGTCCCCCTTCAACCCTCCCATCGCTGCAAAGCACTAGGCTGCAGCACGCCGGCTGTTTCCTAGCCCTTCGCGTACGCGTCGGGGTAGGTGCAGATCCAGTTGCGTCGTGTGTGGCACCACGAGGAGCCAACGGCATCGTCATTCAAATAGGCACAGTGGCCGTCCGCTCGGACTTCAAACCTGCAACACAAGCACAGGTTGTGAGTCCCGGCCTGACATATGGCATGGCATTAAAGCAAGCTGCTGCCTTCCCAACATCCTCCAGCAAGGAGTTCCACAGGTGGGTTGTGCATCTGGGCCCAGCATGCCTTTGTTATTCATTTTAATATCAAATTCAGCTCATTTCATGATGCCCTCCCATGCTGGCAGCCCTGGTATTTTTCTAAGGAGGGCAAATCTTCAGGCTGAATGGGAATTAGACTAATGGCAAGATATTTGCAGGCCTTGATCTCAGCTGGGGCAGGAACCGTCTCTCTGTGTCTGTGCAGCGCCCAGCACAATGGGGCCCTGAGCTCAGCTGGGGCAGGGACTGTCTCTCGCTGTCTCTGTGCAGCGCCCGGCACAACGGGGCCTGATCTCAGCTGGGGCAGGGTCTGTCTCTCGCTGTCTCTGTGCAGCGCCCGGCACAACGGGGCCCTGATCTCAACCCTTAGAAAGAGAGCAGACTCACAGGGTGTTGAATTCTGTCCCATCCACCCATCTCCAGGGTTGCCCCTCTTCCCTCCACAGGCCGATCCAGTGCTCGGAAAGGCCTTTATAGCGCAGCAGGAAAGCCTTTGTAGGAAAGAAAAAGGAAGGCGTTATTCCTGGATGGGTCCCTCTTACTCTCTGCTGCAGAAGCTTTCCACATAGTACAGGACTGTCTCTACGACACTGAGACTGACTGTGCATGCCCCTGGGAAGAGACCCACATTCACCTGCCTGCACCCGGGCCGTTCTGTCGTCTGGGGGCATCTCACCTTCTCCTGGGCGGTGTTGATCACAGCCAGGTTGGCCCCAAAGGAGGAGCAGTTGCTCTGGCCGGTGTCCCAGGTTGCTTCGGCCTCTGAGAAATAGTAGCATCTCCCTTGGTACCCGATCCAGCCGTCCTGGCACCAAGGCCCAGCAGGGGAGGCCGCAGGAGCAAAGTGAAGTATCAGTGCTTGGGGGGGGGGGGGGGGGGGG